GGATATTGAGTGGCCTGTGGCCTCTTCAGGTTTATCGGTTTGGCTCATTGTGTCATTTTATGGCCAAGTTTAGAACATCGAGATGCAGCAGAGGACAGAACCAACAGTCACTTCTGTGAATCCCTTGGCACACTTTGGAACAGTAATAGTTTCACTGCCAGCTCTTCTCAAAAACACCAGTGTAGAGGGAGAAAGGTCTCTGCTCAAGGGCAGAAGAAGAATTTGAATTTTATCTCACACATTTATATTTTTCTGCTACACTGTAAAAAAATGTCCCCTATCCAACATTGTACAATGAATGTAACAATACTCGTATACAGGGTCATACTCACAAGGACAAAACACAATCAGGAAAACATACAAGAAATGCATACTAACTAAATAACATTAAAATACATTACAGATCACAAAAACAAGAAGAAACAAAATTTTCTGTTCACTCTCCTTCAATCTCCTTAAATGTACAAATTAAAGGAATAGTTCACCCCAAAATTGAAAATTTGTCATCATTTACTCACCCTCATGTCGTTCCAAACCTGTATGAGATTCTTTCTTATGCTGACCATAAAATAAGATATTTGGAAGAATGCTGGTAATCAAACAGCTGATGATCCCTATTGACTTACATAGTATTTATTTTCCTATGGAAGTCAATGGGGACCAACAACTGTTTGGTTCTTCAAAATGTCTTCTTTTGTATTCAGCATAAGAAAGAAACTTATAAAGATGAAATAAATGATGACAAAATTTTCATTTTTGGGTGAACTATTCCTTTAAGGTTGTAAACGTGGGACGATCTGTGTAGTTAAGTTTAATACTTTAGTGTTCGTTCAAATCTCTAATGTTAAGTATGAACAATAGCAACAATGATACTTGTACAACTAATAAAATCACAAGTCTTTATTAATCTGAATAATGGAAATCAAGCACCACAAGTGACTGTCATGTAGGTATCAAACGCTAGTATCAATGTCTCTATCTTTCAGGATTATGGAGTCACCCGTGCAAATGTCAAACAGATCTTTCTGAGAATCCTTGAATATTGCTTTATACAACAAGATGAGGTGTTGCTAAGAGCACTCAGTGTTGTTCTTCTCTGTCTTGATTACAAGAGCCGGGTCAGAATAACTAAAGTCTGCACTGACCCAGATAATCAGCGCCACAGAAAGTCAGTTAACTGTCTCTTTTTCTCAAATACTCTCTCTCTCTCTGTTGTTGTGAGGAGAATCAGTATTAATCCGTCCCAGAGCAGATAACTCACTTTACACTGATCTGCAAGAACACAGGAAGCAAACACATTAAACCATCAACAAAATGCTCCAGAGGGAGCTCGTATGCGCCTTGCTGTGTCAGAGGATACTGCTTTTATCTTCATCAGAATGATTCTAATTGCACTTTACTGGGTCAAAATGAATTACATTAGATACCTCTTGTCTCTTCCTCCCTCTCTATCTGTTACAAACACACATAGTTATGTTTCTGCATAATGTGGCCAGTGAAAGTGGATATATTTAGTGTGCTAATCCACAAGAGCAGTGGGACAGATGCTTGTCATACTGACCTCTTGTGTCCCCTGTGCAGATGTCTGCCCTCTCAACAATGTGGAGGTGGTTACATCTTCATAGAACAGGTTTCCATTAATCTGACTGACTCCCTGCAACCTTTAACCATTCCAGTTCATTTAAAGGGGTTATAATAACTGTTGTTTATCTTTTATCATTATTATTTATAATAATAAATGATGTCAGCAAGGTTTATTGCATTAAGAAGAATCGTAAATTTTCTTTATAATATAACGTTATATAAAATTTAATGATATTTACTTTTTTTTTTTTTTATCTGTCTCGGTAAATAAATTTCTCACTAAAACAGAGTACTTCCTCACTGACACGTCTGCTTTTACTGTGTAGCAAATGTCAGTTTTATGGAGTAATGGAAATGTGAAGTCATCATTGGAGCTCTCAGTCAAAAAAAGCGAGGTCATCTTTAGCAGGGCTGGCATCAGTATGTCACTCGAGCTGACTGACAGAATGGTTTTCTAGTGACTGACGCCATATGCCAAGTGTGTGTGTGTGCCAAGGCTGTATCTAAGGTAACCATGTGTGCCTCTGGAGCCTTGTGGCAGTTTAGGGATGATAAATTATGCACTGCAGACTGGACTGGCTCACACTAAAATGTACATTAATGTACACAGTGGACTGTACATCCATAAAATGAAGAAATACACTTTCTTGAAAAAAAAAATCATTTTGATGTTCACAGTTTGCTGAGTGGTGAGCTCAGAAGTTCTGATTATGTTCTGAATAAGTCAGAACTTTTTATCAAGAAAACCCTTTTTGTTTAGTCACATCTGACTATGTGTGAACTAGTGCATTAAAACAAAGTGTATGTAGATATTTATAACAGAACACTAAATATTGTTTAAAGAATTTATGCAACAAACTGCAGTAACATAATCCGTCCTCAAAGGGGTCATGAACTGCCTTTTTATTATTTTGTTCTGTTTCTCTGAGGACCACTTATAATGTTATCAAGATTTTGACATAAAAAACATAATTTAGAAGTAATAGCTATTTTCTGTCCAGTTTTGACCCCCTCATGAGAACGCTCTGTTTGAATAGGCGTGGCAGATTGTAGACTCAGAAGTAAACGCCCACTATTATGACTGGCTAATAGTTGTGTATGTTTGACAGCGTACACAGATTGACGCTGCTGTGTTTTAAGTTAAAAATGCATAAACACTTATATCAAACGATCTGTAATAACAGACAAAGCAATAGTGACCACGTAATAAAAACAATTACTCACACTTGTGTGGTGCGACATTACTGTCGGATCCAATATAGTCGGCACAGCATCATCTTTTAATTTCAACCTTTCTGAAAATCCAGAGTGGAATTGTGCTTTGTTTGTAAACGAATCTGCAGTAAAATGAAGTGAACAAAGGACCGAGTTCTTACTGACACAGTCTGTCACATAATTAAAAATAAAGTTCATCCACTCTTTCCTAACTTTGGGATCAGAAAGAAGGCAATGCACAGACTGTTTTTTTTTTTTATTTCTTCTGAGAAATTTGATTTCTCAGTTCATGACCCCTTTAAAAGTAGTGATGCACCAAAATTTCAATAAACAAGAATATTCAGCGAAAAAAAAAAGGTTTCAGCCCGAACCCTTGACCAAAACAGTGACAAAAAGTTAATTAGCATTTCTCCAAAGGTGCGTACACACAATGTGGATAAGCTACGACAAGTAAAAATGTTAGCTGTGTGGATGCAATTCACTGTGACCAAAAATGATGTTAGAATAGCAATGTAAAATTTGTATGGCTGCAATGTCAAAAGGCGGCTACATCACTACTGCATTGATTTCGGTGCATCACTACTAGTAAAAACTTGTAAGCCTACACCTCTACTCCTGAAAACCTATCCATTAGAAATCGCATTCATCTCAATGCCAGTTTGCTTTGTGTAGGACCCCTTATAAGTATCCAATTTGAAATCCACCACCTTTGCTCATTGCAGCTCAAATTTAGCCTCCAGACTGCAGGCAACACCATTGTCTCCTTCCTGATTCCTGCAGCGGCCATGCGTTCTATGCCGTGCAATGTTACGTGAAGTTTTGCCTGACCTCTCCTCTGTATGACGGTCAGCTGGCAAAAAAATCAAAACCTGCTGTAACGCCCTGGAGCACATTTCTGCTTGTCATGCTAGGCAGTGTCCTGCTCCTTCTCAGCAGGAGCCAAGGGGCAGTCAAATGAGCTCAGCGTGGCTTATCTGCACGTCAGATGCATCACACTGTTATTGAAATTCAGACTTGCTTGACGAATGATGTATGGAACTGCAGAAATGAGTGAACAGATGAGTGCTGTTTGTTGGTGGACCACAGAAGCCACCAGACCATGTCAAAATACCAATTCACAGGACAGGCGCTTCTGATAATGAGTGATGTAATGGCTGACAGTCAGAAAATTCAAAAGAACATCTGATCTTTCTTCACAGAGCAAACATTCTTTGCTATTTACACTTGACATTTTGCAAATATTTCAGAACAAGGTCTGAATCAAAGGTCATTTCTTGTTTGTCTAATTTTGTACTTGGAGATCAAGCACATTTGCGAGGATGAGGTCATTGGCATGTTGAGCTCATTTATTGTAGCTCATTCTTTCAGCATTTATTCCACCACATTTCATCAGCAAAGAGCCAAATAAAGCACACTAGGAGCATACTAGAACTGTGCATGCTAAGCAAATAACATACTACAGATACTCTCTGTTGGGAGTATTGAAGCATAACTCTGTATGCTCAATTAGATCACCTCCTTTTCTGAGAGCAATAAACAACCACAATGGGTAATTACAAGGGAAGCAGACAAGAGCTGTTTCAGACACAAACTCATATAAAACTTCACAGGGGCCTTTGTCTCAGCGGCTTCATTCTGGGCTGCAAACTGGACCAAGATGTCTACTGTTCCCTCCCACCTCTCAGTAAAAGAGACAACAAACAATGGGGTTGCCATGGTAAAAGCGGAGCCCTCTGCCTCAGCACGACAGTGGATTAGTCAGTGTGTCAGTTCTGCCTGAGACGTGTAGTAGCATTTCCTCCAAATGTCCTGCATTCTCACCAAAAGCACAATTGCTAATGCTTGCTAGGTGTGTTAAGATTAGATTCAGCCATCGGTGTGCACTGAGGAGCTTTTCTTGAAAATATTAACTGTAGAAACTTGCAATTTACATATCATCGGAAAACATGCAGAGGCAGCACTTTACATGACATGTACAAACAGAGACAGGGAGTATTTCTTAGAAGGATTCTTTATACTATGATGTGGGCATTGCAAACAAATGATGTTAGATCTTTCCTCAGAGCTAACTGCACTTTACTTTGGTTTTGAGGTTGTTTTTAGTGGATACACGAAGACAGCTTTCTCATAAATCCTACTTGGTTTGATATTTTGTTATATAAATGCATGTATTTTTAAGGGTGCCACTGCATCTCACTCACCAGCCTCTCCATTTCTTGCTCTCTGAGTCGTTCTTCTCTTTGGCGCCGGTGGTACTCCAGAAGGTCATCCTCGTTGTCGCTGATCTCTGTGATGCTATTTTTGCGTTCCCTCATGCCAGGGTGAGGCATCCGAAGGTCCCTGTGGCCCGCTGACATCTTTCTGTGGCTCCTAGGACTGGATCGGGGCGATGACCCAGGCAGAGAACCCAGGCTGAATGCGGAAGAGAGCGAGTTCCCAAAACTGCCCTTCCGTCCACTGCCTTCCCCCATCAGTCCGGAGGTGGGTGAAGGACTACGAGCACGCACCCCACGAGGGCTGAATGGCTCCTCTGTAGGAGACCCTGCTTTCCGCCTGAGTCTGGGACTCTCTGGCACCATTCTTGGGGATGGACTCTCTGGAGTCCGCAGGGTTCCCGGTAGAGCTCCGGGGAGCACAGGAACCCCCCTGCGAGCTATAGAGGGGCTAAGAGGAGGAAGCTCCCTCATGCTACTCCCTTCAAGATTCCTGCGGGCCAGCCGCAGACTTTCTGGAGGCTGCAATGTGCGAGGATGTGGGTGTGGAGGTCCACCCTGAATGATGTGGACAATGGGGTCCAAGGGGGGCTGGAAAGATCGCGAGGGTGGGGAGAGTTGATTAGAGGGGCTAGAGGTCAAGGAGCGATCTGGCTGAGGCTGCTCCCAGAAAGGACTTGAGGGCCGATCCTGGAGAACAATGGCAGTTTTGGTTCTAGGACTAGAGGGCGAGGAGGATGGGGATGCGGTGGAGAATTTGGGGGTCAGTCTGGGACTACCTGGAACTGGAACCCGACTGACAGATGGGTGATCAGTCGGAGCAGTAGAGATTGAGACTGAGGGCAGAATGTGAGTCTGTATGGGGCTGTCTGGGGTTTTAGCCACCGAGCTGTCTTGGTTCAACCCCCAACGACTTGGCTTTGGGCTTGGCGGTGCTTCTAAAAGAGCCTTTCGCTGGAGTCTGGGACTCTCAGGCACCTTTGGCCCACTGTTGCCACCGGAATAGCTGGGCAGTATGGTTCGTGGCTGAGGTATGGGTGGCTGGCTGGTGTAATTGTAACTAGAAGACCTCACTGGCACAGGAGGAAGCGTGTGAAGCTGGTTCTGACAACCACTTGGAGATGGACTGGTGTAGCTGCCACTGCTGGCAGCGGATGGGGATGAGAGAGGAGAGAAAGGAGGAGAGGTATTCTCATAACTGGAGCCCACAGACATAGCACCAGGGCTCGTTGGGGGTGAGAGAAGGAAGCGCCCCCCTCCATTTAACATGGGGGACAAGGGAGACTGGGAGATGGGCAGACCAGAGGGCTTCTTTGACTCAGAGGAAGAGGGCTGAGGGTCATCCATGACTAATGAGTCCATAATGTCCTGAAGGTCCTTCTCAATGGAACTGACGATGGCACTGTGCTCAGGGCGCACTCTCTCGTTGGAGACCAAGTGAGATTTTGGCGCTCCTGACGAGTGGTTCCCATTGATCAGGTTCTCAGAATCTGAAAGAAAAGATAACAGTCATAAGCCTTTGCCATATACAAAAATCTAAATACATATATTTTAGAACAGCTAAGGTGTAGCTGTAATTAATTAATGAACAAATCTTTCTTCTGAATCAGTGGAAATGGTTCACAAAACCAGTCTGAATGATTGGTTCACACATAATATTGAAATGATTTTTAGTCAACAACTCACCAAATCCCTGGAGAACAGTCTTTTTTCAAAATAATGGACAAGCTGATAATGAGTAGTTGGACAGTATTTAAGGATTTAACTGATGGGTAAAAAGTAAGTCACTTTAGTCGTATAGCAGAAATGTTACAATGATAATGAAAGAGTTGGTTTTCAATAAACAGCTTTTATAGAAGCTTTAGCCCAAAAAATTAAGTGAATTTATTATTGTTTCATATAAATGCTAACAATATTAAGGTTTCAAATCACTTAAACGTAATATAAAACCCATAGTAAAATCACCATGTGTGCTTTCATATATCTTTACTTGACCATGAATGCAACGTCAAGATGATAGGGACCATGTGATGACAACTTCATGATGTAAAAAAAATAAATAAAAAATGCTGGACTGGTTAACTGAAACAATTCGAAAGAATCGATTCTCAATAATGATTCAGAATTCCCATCACTAGCCAGCTGAGCCCAACAGAGTGCAGAAAACAGGAAAAGCACTTACGAGTAAGTGGATGCATTTGGCTTCTTCACCCCACCTAACCCCAACTATTATCCTCAGTACTACACCTGAGCTTTTAATGCAAGTACCTGCAGCTCTTTTGGCACTGCAGAGATGAATTTAATCCATTAGCCCCATTCAACAGCCTCCAAGTTTAACACTGCTGCCAAACCCACAGAAGATGAATGCTCAAGTAGAAATAGTGGTTTCCAAATGGAAATTCAGAGAGAAAGTATGCCAGGCTCCAGCCTGAGAGGATAAACGTCAAATGAATATGTGCTCATATACCTAAATCATAGAGAGCCCCGCTGGTAATTCAATCTATCTCTCAGGCAACTGACCATTTCCAATGTAAATGGTTCATCTGCTGAGACAGACCCACAAAGTAAAAATGGTCATTATCTAAAACAGTGGTTTTCAAACTGGGGTCCGGGAAACCCCAGGGGGGCTGCAAGTGGGAGCTAGGGGCTGTAAGGTAATATTATTGTAATAATCTCTGTAAATCTTCTTTGGAACAATTTTGTGAAAAGTGAAACAGTGAAAAGCAATTCAGATCAAATAAATTTTATTAAATTCAAAATACAATTTTACTGAAAATACTTATCCTCATGTTTAAACATATAACATTAGTCTAATAGTGGAAAGATCAACTTAATAAAAAAGTATTATTCATTTGCTTTGGTTTTATAGAATTACAATACTAAAGCCAATTATTTGATTTTGAACACAAGACGTTTTGTAATATGATGCTAATTATGTTTCTCAGACAGTATACATGGGCCTGATCACATTTAAATACAAAGCTGATTTTATAATTTAGGAAAGGGTGCAGCAATTATCATATTTGGAGGGCCTTGGCTTCACAAAAGTTTGATAACCTCTGGTCTAATCCACTGTATATAAAAAAAGCCAAAATAATGCCAAATTTATGATTTTCCCCCTCAATTCATCAGAACATTATTATTTTTCATAAAACACTCCAGATGTAAACGATTTAACACTGCATCAAACTTATTAGATAGGTGCTATATATACATAAGACATAAGTAATATATAAACATATACATAAGATTCTGAGTCAGTCACAGAACTGATTTCACAACATCCAAAACTTGATCAATCTTGCTCTTGCCAGCTCAGTGTTTGCGTTTCTGCCACAAATCTCTCCTGATTACAAAACACTCTCTGTTCAAACTCCTCACAAATAATGCATAAAACACAACCCCCTTTCCAAGTGTTGTTATTTATTTTATTTTTTATAGTCATCGTGGTTTAGAAATAAGTCAGAGCAGCTGACAATGCCTCTGGCTCAATTTTCCATTTAAATCCCACTGAAAAAGAAACGGTTTCAAGAAAGCACAAGCACATAGATACAATGATTATTGAGAAAGACCTTTCATGTGACAAAATGAAACATGTCAACTTGACAAGTAGCGACTATAAAAGGATACATATGCTACATACAGTACGTCCGTATACATACACATATACAGACTATATAACGATCAGTACTTACAGATGAAAACACGCCTGTGGAAACGCTAAGCCGCTGCGCTTGGCTTATAACCCATAACCGACCTCAGTATCAAAAGTACGGCTCCCGCATTCCGGTTCTCGAACTAGGCCAGCTGCACCGGCCACACGGTACCCAGTCAGGAGTATAAAACGCCGCAGATGAGATTTTCCAGCCGGGCTTGGTGAGCCTGGCGCCGCTACACCATCGCTGAGTCCCCCTCCCTCCCCTGTCCACGGTGCTGATGTGACTGACTGCTGGCTGCACGGGGCGGGGCCTACATTCTTAAAGCGACAGTGCACATTTTGAAGATAAATTCACATGGACACTGATGTGACTGTGAGTTTAAATTTTTTTTTTTTAAAGTTTCTTTGATTCTCAAAATATTTTATATGAGAATTTCTAAACTGGCAGCTGATATGCAGTATATAGTAGCTTAGTAATTAATATATAATATAATATAATATAATATAAATGTATTTTAGTTGCCAAGTAATAAGTGGGATAATGTAGACAGACACAGCAATAAAAGCGTATCTGTTAATATATGGCACACTTCTCTGAGTAATACTGAAATATCATCAAGAACATCAAGCAGACCTGCTGTGTGGGAACGAGGCAGCCGGATATTGGGAGAATATGAGGGGAACAGTGAGGAGGGGATTGGAGAGCAGGGTAGGTGGTGAGATAAATATAGATATTGTAAAAGATACCCCTCAACTTTAAATAAGCAGAGCATGGCCAACAAAGCTGTCTGGACTGGAAGAGAGATGGATGAGGAAATAGCTCTGGCACAGAGAACGTGTGAAGGGGGGTTTCTTTTCCTCTATGAATCAGTCTATAAACAAATATCAGTTGCCAAAAGCACATGGACAGCTTTATATACATGCCTTATGTACAAGTGCTGAGATCCATGCATCTTAAATGGATAGCCCACCCCAAAATGAAAAATCTTCTGAAGGTATTTTGAAGAATGTTGATAACTGGTAGCCATTGACTTCCATAGTATATTTTTCCATACTATGGAAGTCAACAGCTACCAGCAACTGTTTGGAACAACTTTAGGGTGAGTAAGAATTTTCATTATTGGGTGAACTATCCCTTTAAGGTGCATGTATCTAAGCTCTTGTACAAAAGGCATGTCCATAAAGCTGTCCATGTGCTTTTGGCATCTGGAATTTGTTTAAAGACTGATTTATAGAGTCTTAAAAAACGTAATTCTTTTAGCTATGTAGTTTTAGATCATTAAGACACTGGGAAAATAAGAAACAAAAATATATATTGAACAGGAATGCAGCGGGTATGTTGTTTGCAAAAAGAATGTCTTTCATGGTGGAGAGAATTTATTACCAGCTCAGAAAATATACTGCACCAGCTGTGTTTATATGCTATTCTTGTACTTTTCTGCCACACAACAGGAAAAGTCAGGAAAACACCTCAGTACATATTGTAAATGTGCTCTGTTTAAACACTGGCTGCTGTGTAGCACTGTGAGTGGGAGTGGAAGATGTAGAGCGCTCTGTCAGGAGACCCAGAGGAATGAGCTCCTCATAAAAGTTGCATGGTGCAACTCAGGACCCAGGCAGGCTTGCATTGCTAACAGTTAGAAACGGAAATGTAGTAAGGCCCAGCTGAAAGCCACTACCTGTGCTACTAAAACAAACCTTGCCATTCAGGCATGTGGCAACACCCTATAAGACCAAATCTGCATAAATGGCCCATTTGTAAATGTGCATCTGTTTCTTATAGCACTTACACAAGAAATAGGCGCTTGTTTGTTTATTTTTAAACATGATATATACATAAAAGACATCTATATGCAACAGAGTGTGTAATATCACAAATGCTCTTCTGTATTGTGATTACAGACAGTACAAAAATAAGCTTTTGAGGTTCTACAGGAATGTATTTTCCACACAAATGACATCCTGCACAACACAGCCTTTGAGTGCGTTGTGGTAAGCGTTGGATAATTCATGCCACAGTTGAGGTGTGTTCTCCTGTGGGATATTGCATTACCTGTGTGGGCCCAGTTTTTCACACTGGCTGTCTGTGCTCCCTCAGGCATCATGCTTTTCATTCGGAAAGCCTCCTCGGGGTGGTTGAAACGGAAAAAGGCGGATTGGCCGAAACACAGCATACAGCCTGCACACAAAGCAAAACCACTTTTAATGAAGCTGAGAATGAAAATGCATCAAACATATGCCTGAAGAAGTACTTCAAATGATCTTGACTAGGATCCTGGCAGTTTTAGACCAGTTCCGTACCACTGTGTGAGAGGTACGGAGGGGGGAAAGGAATGTTTGCCCCTGTTTTACATGAACAAGCAGGAACATCTCACACTGTGGCGTCGGATTAGACTCCTGGCTTGCTGAGTGAGGGGAAAAATAGACAAGCCAAACGCTGGTAGTGAAGCCAGTTAAAGTCAACATGAGATCTAAATTAACTCTATTTAATACATACAACCTTCTGATCATTTTAAACAAATAAATCAATTTTCTATGGATCAGATCAAGTCTTGCCCTATATATTGGCTTTTTTATATATAAACTGGTACCATATTGGCCAATATTAGTGATTTAAAAAGTCAGTATTGAATATATATTGATATTGTATATTTATTCATGCATGCTCATTTCTGAGCAATGCAGTTGTCTTAATTCATTATCTTTGCTTATGCAGAAAGAGATTGAATTAATTTAATATAGAATTAATTTATTTGGCATTTATCACTTCTGAATGTTGTTTCATCTTGGCTTTAACTGAGAGGCATATACAAAAAATGCTTTATTGTCACTAATGGAAACTTGACTTATCTATCTATCTATCTATCTATCTATCTATCTATCCGTCTGTCTATCTACTCTCTCTCTCTCTCTATCTATGAATCTATATGAATCTATGACTCTATGAATCTTTCTATCTATCTATCTATCTATCTATATATCTATCTATATATCTATCTATCTATCTATCTATCTATTAATCTATCTATCTATCTATCTATCTATCTATCTACACACACTCTCTCTCTCTCTATCTATGAATCTATATGAATCTATGACTCTATGAATCTTTCTATCTATCTATCTATCTATCTATCAGTCTATCTATCCGTCTGTCTATCTACTCTGTCTCTCTATCTATCTATCTATCTATCTATCTATCTATCTATGAATCTATATGAATATATGAATATTCTTTCTTTCTTTCTTTCTATCTATCTATCTATCTACACACACTCTCTCTCTCTCTATCTATGAATCTATATGAATCTATGACTCTATGAATCTTTCTATCTATCTATCTATCTATCTATCTATCTATCTATCAGTCTATGAATCTATCTATCTATCTATCTATCTATGAATCTATGAATCTATATGAATCTATGAATCTATATGAATATATGAATATTCTTTCTTTCTTTCTTTCTTTCTTTCTTTCTTTCTTTCTATCTATCTATCCACACACTCTCTCTCTCTCTATCTATACATACTAACAACTCATTTTAACCAGTTAACCGACCGTGAATAATTTTGACAGATTAATACAATCAGTTAGACGGTTTAAAAAGTCATTTATTTATTTTTAGTAATTTATCAAAATATTTAAAAAATCTATCTATCTATCTATCTATCTATGAATCTATGAATCTATATGAATCTATGAATCTATATGAATATATGAATATTCTTTCTTTCTTTCTTTCTTTCTTTCTTTCTTTCTTTCTATCTATCTATCTACACACACTCTCTCTCTCTCTATGAATCTATATGAATCTATGACTCTATGAATCTTTCTATCTATCTATCTATCTATCTATCTACCTACCTACCTACTCTCTCTATCTCTCTTTCTCTATCTATGAACCTATGAATCTATATGAATCTATGAATTTTTCTATCTTTCTTTCTTTCTCTTTCTTTCTTTCTTTCTTTTTTTCTTTCTATCTACACTCTCTCTCTCTCTCTCTATCTATGAATCTATATGAATCTATGACTCTATGAATCTTTCTATCTATCTATCTATCTATCTACTCTCTCTCTCTCTTTCTCTATCTATGAACCTATGAATCTAAGAATTTTTCTATCTTTCTTTCTTTCTTTCTTTCTATCTACACAATTTCTCTCTCTCTCTATCTATGAATCTATATGAATCTATGACTCTATGAATCTTTCTATCTATCTATCTATCTATGAATCTATCTATGAATCTATCTATCTATCTATCTATCTATGAATCTA